TTTTCTTTCACTTTGTCCTGTTTAAAAATAATGCTGCAAAGGGAAGTACCCAAGCACACAGGGTCTATCCAAGAACTCAAACTCAAAAGGCTTATATCCAAATACGAGAATAAATGGCCAAATAACCTAAAAAACACAACAAATACAACAATCCATTTCGGAAATTCAACATATAAGACCCAAATACTGGTTTATATGCATAAACCCACTCAACCACCTCCCCCGGAGGCACCAAAATTGAGCGTTCATATAAAAATATTGTCTGTAGACCCCAAATAAGACTGTAAGTTGACGACAAATAAATGAATAATCAAGACACAGGCGTACTCGTACGGACAAAGGAACTAAACATAACAGAACATGCCAAGAATCACATTCTCAGCTCTGTAGGAACCCATATAAAACTGCAAAAAATGGACAATTTAATGAGTAATCACAAAACAAGAGAACCCATATCAGTGATATCACGAATCCAAATGAGCAGCGCCAACCTAAACATGCTCAAAGGCACAGGCCCAAATCATCAAAAATAATAGAAGAAACTAAAAGGAAAAAAAAGGAGAAGAACACACACATACACACGCACGCACGCAGAGTAATCGCACACCTTCACCACAACCAAGCTTGGGGCTCTTGAATCGTGTTTTCGAGCGCAAGAACTCGAGCAAAGTAGTGGAGGGATCAACCACGGTTACCTCAAACGTTTCTCCATTAACGTCAAATTTGAGGCAATCGTTTGCCACTGCTTGTGGTGTCGAATTATTCATCTCCATTTTTTCCCGATCACTGATGAGAGACGAGTCGGTATAATAAATATGAGGTGGATAATAAAATGGGTATGTCAGCTAAATAAACACTCTGCTCTGCCACCCAAACTGTGGGAAACACGTGGTAATATGGAAATCTTTCATTTTCCTAAAGATGGTTTTCACTCTTTTGTTACAAGTAGAGATTGTTTTCACTTTACCGAGTTATAAAATTCTTCCAAGTCGCAGTTTCGGAATTTTATGTAAAGATGGACCATTTTCGGATTTTTATTTCTCAAAACCAAAATAAAAAATGCTTAGGATGCTTTTTTAGGCCTTAGCTTAGTAGTTTATTAATGAGTGATCCTCAAACTTTAGGATGCTTTTAGGCCTTAGCTTTAGTGTTTAGTAATGAGAGATCCTTAATTTTCCTACCCCTCGTAGTGCGTAGTAATCAGCTGCTGTTCGTTAAAGAATGTCTTTTAACAATTGATATACATTTTTATATCAAAATATCATATTCTAAATATTGATATAAATAAAATATGATATTTTATGATATAAATATATATTTATCTTTAAGAAATATAATGCGTATACCCTCCTAAAATTTAAATCGTCTCACAAGTCACAACAATATTAAATTCACTTATTAGTTAGTAATGTTAATGTTAAACTTGTCTAATGATTATATAATCATACTCTTAAAGTGATATATCACTCTAAAAACACTATAAATTAACATATAGTATAAACGTAGATTAGAGAAGGTCGAGGGCATTAGGCTCCCTTATTTTTCTTTATAAATATTTATATCTACTTAAATATAATATCTAAAAATACATTAATTATAATATTAATATATTTTAGTTAATTACAATTTCACTTATACCTATAATGTTCTAGCTCAACCTTAAAGCATTTACAATTATACAAAGTTGTATAATATTTTTAGAAAAAAAAATGACATATTATGTTTTAATCAGAAATAATTATTTTGAACTAGAATAGTGATGTAGCGTGGTAGACGACTGGGAATAAAGAGAAGAGAACTCTCTCGATAAACTGTATATTCTTATTCAAAATCAATCAAAGAAGAAGAGTCCTTTAAATAAGGCTCTCAAAACCTTGAGGCTCACTTGTCCACCAAGCCAAAACTATAAATAGTAAATAATAATAATACATATGAAACGCTAATAATAGTAATAATAGTAGTAAATATTACTTTGCATCATTCTCTCCCGGTTGAGCAGGATTCGCCCTCAAATTCGACCCGATCTCGTTGTCGTCGTCAACCGCTGTCCCACACACAAACGACGATCTCAAATGGAGTCATCCTCCGCCTATCCATTCATCGACAAAAATAATTGCAGTAGCCCAAGAAAACAAGCAGCTTATGATATTCTTCAAGTTGTGGAGGGAGTAGTGCCTGTCCGTCATCGGGAACAATAAGCTCGACAACCGAGTGCCTATTCAAATCGCCCAAAAGCGGGACCAACCCATTAAAGTTGTCATAGGACACATTCAATTTTCAAGGCTTAAGTACTGACTCAGTTGTTCAGAAATTATCCCCCTCAAATCATTGTAATTCAATATGAGAGTGACTTGTGTCTGTAGCTTGCCCGAGGATTTAGGGCATGCTTGTTTATAGATTTTTTTTTTATTAGTTTTTCGGGTTAACTGTAGTTAATTTTAAAAAAGTTGATTGAGTTAGGTTTGAGTGAAATTTTGAATTATATTAAAATAATACTTTAAAATAAAGTGATTAAAGTTGATTTGATGTAAAACTAATAGAAAAGTGATTGCAAGTGCTGAGCAGTTAAAATTATGTGCGTGGATGAATAGTGAATTAAAGTTGATTTGTTTTGTAAGGAAAATTGATTGATATTATTTAATTATACTGATAATATTGAGGAGAGTAGAGTTTGGTTAAAGTTGGGATATATTGGAGTTTAGATTGGATTTTTTTGGAAAAGTGTTATAAACAAGCAAGCTCTAACATGCTCAGTGAAATGTACGTCTACTCCAATTTTTCTTAAAACATCTGTGCAATCCCAAGAAACCATTTGCAGGTCAGAAAGGGTCATATATTTCAACGGGCCCACATCGCTGCATGCATGTTCTTTAGTCGTCGGCTTCTCCTCATCGAACATAGGCAGCCCGTCACAGTAGGCGGCCCTGCTGTCCCCGACCAAAAGCGAACGTGAGAAACGTGGCGTAAGACAAGATGCTTGTTGACGCCCTAGACGCCGCAAGAAAAACACTGCAAACCGCCTGGGAGATGGCTGCCAGTCCTCGGTGGTGGTATCCCTGTGCGGATGGAACCTGCCAAAGTCGGCGTAGGTACCCTAGACAGCTTCCCTGTCTCTGGTGTTTTGCTCGTCGAAGACCGGTGGTCCGTCGTAGAAGCCGGTGTCCTCCGTGAATAAAGCACGTGATCTGCCGACATCCTCGGTCAATTTTTCCTCCGGCCCCGGAGGCTCGTCATAGAAAATCAGCAGACCGTCGTAGAAACCGCCAGCGTCGCCAATAAGATGCTCCACCCGAAAACCCGTCTTCATCGCGACTCACCAAAGCCTTCGGTCTCACACCGAGGCTCACGACGCGCTGCTCCTCAAAATCCACGTAACCTGGGGCCAAACACCTCCAGTCGCGAAGGTCATCCTCGTCGAAGCCCTCCTTCACGGCGCGCCTGCCGGTCGTCAAAGGGAGACGTCCGAAAGGGTCTCATGGCCCTCGTCCTCGCCGGACAGCGGTTGTGGCGAACGCCTGCAGGGCGCCCCGCCTGTGCCACGTCCTCCACGTCCGCCGCGGAATCCCCCATACACTCCCCGGTTGCCGTCGTCGCGGTACATATGCGCACCCTTCACCATGGTACGGATAGTGAGCCTTAATTCCTCGATACCCGTTGACATATTTGTGAATCGATTGTCCATATGCTAAAATTGGTCCGCCATCTACTGAAATTGATCGTTGATGGAGGTGTCACGTCAATCGATTGCATCTTGTCTTTGCGGTGGCTTGATACCAACTGATGTAGCGTTGTAGACGATTGGGAATAAAGAGAAGAGAACTCTATCGATAAACTGTATATTCTTATTCAAAATTAGAAGATGAGTCATTTAAATAAGACTCTCAAAACTCTGAGACTAACTTGTCCACCAAGCCAAAGCTAATAAATAATAATAATAATAATAATAATAATAATAATAATAATAATAATAATAATAATAATAATAATAAATATTAAAAGCTAATAATAATAATATTAAATACTATTCTGCATCAAATAGTTAACATGTAAAATAAATAAACAATTTATTCATTATTTTCGTATTATTTATTGGCCATCCAACCAATTTTTTAGTTCGTTCACTGAGTATAAATATATAGTTTATTATAAATATAACGGGTCAACCCATCTAATGTTTTCACTGACTCACACAAAGATTACTGCTTAACAGTAGATACATTTTTAAATTTCATTTAGTAGAAAATACAAATACTGCCCAACCAAATAACCATCACCCTGGTTTTAGTTTGAAAAACCAACCGCCGGGATACTTCAGCCGATGAATCAACACACAATCACACCAATGTATATGCGATCACAAATCAAATTTCGGTGTGCACAGTGCTCACACTACTACCCACACCAATTGAGTACAATTCTCTATAAATAGGTGCAAGCTATAATAATAATAATAATAATAATAATAATAATAATAATAATAATAATAATAATAATAATAATAACAACAACTACAACAACAACAACAACAACAACAACAACAAAATTATTTATTTGTGATTCTACCTCCCAAAGATAGTATATTTTTCCACGCTTTCATAATTTTATAGTGTCGCGTTGAAAGACTAAATTATCCAAGTTAAGTTAAAGTTGAATTAGATTTTGAGTATGAACTGAGTATTTATTTGTAAGCAAACACACCCTAAACACCCAATTTTTCACTATATATACTCCCTCAAATCCAATCTCAGCCGTCCATTTTCGTTGACTTTGTTTGGATAACGATTTGTTTTTGCGTATTATTGGGCCATTACAGTTTGGGCAGTAATTTTAAAACTAATTGGGCTAACAGAAGATTAATTCAATGGGCCAGATGGTTGACCCAATTTAATATTAAATTTCCTCTTAAATTCCTGTTCTGGCTTCCCACCGAAGCTTTGCGAGGAATTCTCCGAGACACTCTCTCTGAGACGCTCGCCTGAACGATTTGTCGCTCGCCTGAAATGTCGTTCCTAGGTATGCTAATGTGTTTACATTTCTGATAAAATTTTTACGCTAGCATTAGATTTTTATCTTTTTAACTTCTCGCTGCATTTGTATAGTGTTCTATTTGAAGAAGATTTTTGCTCGACGTGCTTCTGTTGTACAGCAACCTGGTTTGTATTATCTTAGTATCTTAATATATTCTATCATATTGAACGGTGCTTCTAGTATTCTTCTTTTTATTTTTTTTATCATTGTAGCTGGTGCTGTGAAATATGGCCGACTTCCTGCTCAAGCCAAATCCCAAGCCAAAGTTGCTAGCCCTGTACCATCTTTCCTCTCACTATCTAGTTTGTGTTATTATATAATTTGTTTAAACTGAGTTTTTCTTTGATTTAGTATTGTTTAGTTTCTATTGTTTGTAATTCATGTTACATACTTTCATGCATCAATTAATTGGTAACAACCACTTAAAGGATGTGGTGTTACAACTCCATCTCCATTAAGTATGGAGTTATGGAAGTGAGGCTTTGAAGTCTTCATTAAATAGTTGTATGAAGACAACTATAAATTGATGCTTTGTGCATCTTGAAAAAGGAACAATATGAGACAAAGAAACAAGTTAGAAAAATATATAAATATCTTTATATAGTGCATATTCTCTTGTTGAGCCGAAACCATCAAGGCGGCTCGGGTTTTAGAGCGTGGAGGATACCGACGACTCTAGTAGCCGTCGGATAAAAGATACGGGCAAGTTTTCGCTTCCGCTACATAAGGTTAGTCCTATATATATTTATATATGTGTTATATAAAACCACTAACAGTGGTATCAGAGCCCGTTTATTCCTCCGACGCATTTTTATAAAAGAATATATTTATGTATTTGTTACATAAAATTCATTCTCTTTTAACTATGTGTTAAATATAGAATGAGTGTCGTTCATGAATTTGTGATCATGAAAATGACATAAAAAAATAATAATAATAATTAAGATGGAGGAAAAATTAGGTTTTGTGGCCTAATTAATATATAAACAAAGAATAAAAATTATTATTATTATTCTTTGGTTAATAATAATATTTGTTATTATTATGGTTTTCAAATATTTATATGGTATTATTGTTTACCATTAAAAAAAAATCTTTTTAAAATTATCATAATATGTGTTATTATGATGAAAAGAATAAATCAATATTTTTGTAATATTGTGTCAGCTTCTTGTTATTATTTAAATTATCTAAGTAATAATTAAATAATTATTTAATATGATACATGAATATATGTTATTCATGTTATGAAACTTAAATATCTTTGTGATGTTTATATTTGTGTTTATTTGTTAAACAATAACATCAATAAATGAATATGTTTCATTGGAATAAGATTAATTAAATTATATTTATTTTTATTTGTGTTATTTGTGATGATTATGAGCTTGGCGAAATTTTCGAACTCATGGCATAAACAAAAATAAAAGTGATAATTTAATTATATTGACCTCATGCCTAATATCCATTTTATATACTTGTAGATGACAACTAAATCTATGATTGGAGATTTGTCCTCCAACGAAAAGCTAGATGGTACCAATTACGACATCTGGCATAGGAAGATTCAGTATCTTCTTAATGAACGCGAGGTTTTGGAAACCTTGTCCACTACTGTGATTGAACCAAAGGATACTGCTAGTGCGCAGTACAAGGAAGAATTGACAACCTATGAAACGTGGTCCAAAAAGGATCGTTCTGCACGCTATACTATGTTGTATTGCATGCATAATGACCTTATTGGAGAGTTTGAGAATTGCCCCACGGCTAAAGACATGTGGGACAAGCTTAAGGTCACCTTCGGGCAAACTTCGGCTACTAGGCTCCGTGCCTTGAACCTAAAGTGGATGGATTACAATATGGATCCTAAGCACTCTGTTGCCGAACATTTGCGTGTCATGAGTGCCATGATACGTGACCTAAAAGCTGCGGGACGAGATGTATCTGATGAGGAGCAAGTTCTAAATGTGGTTTGTTCACTTCCAAATGATTCTGAGAATTGGAAGAACTTCAAGCTCCTCATGGCTCATAGCGAGAACGTAAAAACTTTTTCAGAACTCGCTAAACATATTGAAATGGAAGTAGAACGTCAGAGGACGTTAGCACCTTCCAATCTTGCATTTGTTGCCCATGGTGGTCAAGCCAAGGGAAATAAACGCAAACGAGCCAAGGAATTTTCCCGTCCTTCTCAAAATTTTGGATCAAATGGTGGTTCAAAGAAACAACTTATGGCACATGGCCAAAGGGAGAAGAAAATAGCGCGTGTGAAGTGCTATAATTGTGGACAGAAAGGTCATTTCGCTCGTGATTGTGCTGAGCCGAAAAAGGTACCTTCTACCACTAATTCTTTTGAACTATATGTTTGTTCTCATGCATTAGTTGCTAATTCTATTCCTAATTGGATTATAGATACGGGAGCAAGCAAGCACATAGTTCATAAAAGATCAGGATTTGTGGAATTCCACCGGTTTTCTATTGGCACTCAAACTGTCATGTTAGGGAATGGGAGCGAGGGAGATGTCCTTGGGGTTGGAACATACCAACTTAAACTCCATGGTGGAAATACACTACTCCTGCATGATACTCTCTATGCACCCGGGGTGCGAAGTTGTTTACTTTCAGTTGTTTCCTTGTTAAAACTTGGGTTTTCCTTTAATTTCAATACTGGTAGTTTGGACATTTTATATCATGACAATTTATTCGGACGTGGTATTTTAAAGAATGGTTTCTTTGTTCTTGACTTGGTTGAGAGTTATAATGACTCATCACATGCTTTTGCTTCATTTTATAATATTGATTCTGAATCTGTTAAATGGCATGCACGACTTGGTCATATTGGTCAAGATAGAATGTCCAGGCTAGCTAAAGAGAGACATTTGGGACAATTGACTAAGATTAAATTGCCTAATTGCGAACCTTGTCTAGCCGGAAAAGCTACTAAAAAGCCTTTTGGTAAGGCATCAAGAGCATCAAATCCTTTAGAGCTGATTCATTCTGATATTTGTGGGCCTTTAAATATAAAAGCTCGTCATGGGGCTACATATTTTATTACCTTTATAGATGACTATTCACGTTTTGGGTATGTGTACCTATTATCTCATCGACACGAAGCACTTGATACGTTCAAACATTTCATGGCCGAAGTTGAAAACCAAAAGGAACGAAGAATTAAGACTCTTCGTACTGACAGGGGACGTGAATACCTCTCTGATATGTTCAAAGAGTTTTGTGAGACTAAAGGTATATCAAGGCAACTTACGGTTCCATATACTCCGCAACAAAATGGTGTTGCTGAAAGAAGAAATCGTACATTACTAGACATGGTTAGGTCGATAATGGCTCAAGCCAATCTCCCTATTAAATTTTGGGGAGATGCGCTGCTTACTGCAACGTACATCCTTAATCGTGTACCGAGTAAAAGTGTGTCACTCACTCCATATGAGTTGTGGAATGGGAAACCACCCATTTTGGACCATTTACGCCCTTGGGGTTCGGCTGGCTATGTGCATAACCAAACTCACAAGTATGGAAAGCTTGGTCCAAGAGCTACCAAAATGGTGTTCATTAGATACCCTGAACATTCAAAAGGGTATGTTATGTTTGGTGAACATCCAGATGGTGGCATGACTGAGTTGGACTCACGCAATGTCGATTTTCTTGAGGATGAGTTCCCAAGTATTGGTGAAATTAAGAAAGACCTTCAGTTGTATGAGTTACAACAAGAAATGCAATTATCTTTAGGAGATGAGGGGGATATATTGCCTCAACAGGTCTCCAAAGATAATGAAGTTCTTCTAAATTCCACTAGTGAAAAACAAACTCAAAATGAGGATGAGCCTCATAGAGTAGAGCATGAGATAAGTTATCATGCTCATAGCCCCATGCCTCTCGAGGACAGTGGGAGAAATTTTTCAGCTAGTTTGGAAAATAGTGAAGGTCCTACTTTGAGAAGGAGTGATCGTGGAAGAATTCCTCGTCGATTTTTTCAAATTGAGGAGGATGTATTTCTTTGTACTCCTTTAGAAGTAGATGAACCGAACTCTTATAAAGAGGCAATGAATTCACCATATAATTCAGAATGGAAAGATGCAATGAATGATGAGATGGACTCAATGATTAAAAATAATGTCTGAAAACTTGTTGACCTTCCACCTCATCGTCGATCAATTGGATGTAAGTGGATATTCAAAATCAAGCCTGGGGTGGATGGATCAATAGAAAAGTTCAAAGCTCGTTTAGTAGCGAAAGGTTTTACCCAAATTGAAGGTATAGATTACGATGAGACATTTTCTCCTGTGGTGAGATTTGCCTCTATTCGTCTTCTTCTGGCCCTGGTTGCCCATTTGGATTTAGAATTATTTCAAATGGACGTAAAAACAACATTCCTCAATGGTTCTCTTGAGGAAGAGATATATATGGATCAACCTATTGGGTTTGTCCCAAAAGGGCAAGACAATAAAGTTTGTCGCCTCAAAAGATCCATATATGGTCTCAAGCAATCTTCCAGACGATGGTATCTCAAATTCCATGAAGCCATTTGTGCATTTGGTTTGACCATGGTTGATGAGGATCATTGTGTGCATGTCAAGAAAAGTGAAGAAGGAATTTTGTTTCTTTCTCTATACGTTGATGACATATTGTTGGCTGGAAGCGACATGGGAATGATCAACGACACTAAGCTGTGGTTGTCCTCTAATTTCGAAATGAAGGACATGGGTGAAGCTAGGTATGTCCTAGGAGTGGAAATAATGAGAAATCGTCCTAAGAAACTTCTTGGTTTGTCTCAAGAAACCTATATTAAAAGAATCTTAGAACGTTTTCGAATGCATTATTCCAAACCCGTTGATACCCCAGTCGAAAAGGGTTTAACCTTAAGTCTTGACCAATGTCCGAAAACAGATGAAGAAAAACATAAAATGAGCAATGTTCCATATGCTAGTGCAGTAGGAAGCTTGATGTATGCTATGTTATGTACACGGCCAGACATCTACTTCGCAGTTGGCTTGGTAAGTCGTTACCAAAGCAACCCTGGGCCTGCACATTGGCAAGCTGTCAAGTGAATCTTGCGGTATCTACGTGGTACAAGTGACTTGGTACTTTGCTACCAAGGTGGGTCCTTGAAATTAAAAGGATAATCGGATGCTGATTGGGGTGGTGATCTGGATGAGTCAAAGTCAACTTCAGGATATGCCTTTATATTTGGTGGAGGTGCAATATCCTGGTGCAGTAAAAAGCAAGATTGCATTTCACTTTCGACTATGGAAGTTGAGTATGTTTCCAGTTGTATTGCCGTTCAAGAGGCAACATGGTTGAGGAATTTTCTACAAGATCTCAACCTCACCCCAAAGGTTGATGAACCTGTAGAAATGCATTGTGATAATACTGCTGCTATCCAGTATGCCCAGGATCCGAAGTTTTACAGAAAAACCAAGCATATCAAAAGGCGTTATCATTTTGTACGAGACGCAATAAAAAATAAAGAAGTTGTCATTAAGTATATACCCACAAATAAAATGATAGCTGATCCTTTAACTAAACCTATACGCAGAGTTGCTTTCCAAACTCATATGAAGAGTCTTGGTTTGCGTAGGTTTTAATTTTATTTTTGTGGGATAATGGATGTGTATCATGTTACACCAAACATATATGAAATTTGTTGTTCTTTGATATGTTCTTTAGCATATGTTGCATAAGTAGGCATGAGTAAAGATGTCACCAGGCTTTTGATTACGCTTATCACACAGGTAATCGCCCTATCACATTAGTTGTGAGTAATAGGATGAGACTATGTCATATTCATATTAAGTGTATGTAATTTGAATTGTATTTATACATTTGTTGTATAAATATATTTTTACAGTTGCCTTAGTAAGTCTAAGATGAGACTCTATCGAGTCGAATATGAAATAGTCCTGATTTCATATCAAAGCCTTGAAGCTGAATCTCGAGTGAAAGATAAATTATTAAGTATATTTATCAAGTGGCTCGGGTTAAATACTTGAGTAGTATCTAGACTACAGATTCGTATAACATAGTAGAGTGACATGCCCATCATAGTGGGAGCTATGTTATGACACGTATATCATACTGCGTGTGCTTTTGAACGACCGTTAAGGATTGACAAATGATTCCCTACTTTGTCAAGGTGTGAATCCTATGGATTTTGTTGTCCAACTTTGTACGAAGCCTTTTGACTTAGAACTATGTTATGAAATTGAGACTTAGTGTTGCTACTTTAATATGTCCTCCAAGAGCTATGATCGATACAGTTCGACGGAGCATGTTAGGAAAGCAACTAAGTTGAGATGAAGTTTCATTAGTGTCTAAGAAATAACTTATTCAACTTCACCACATTAGCCCGTGCGGTTATATTTGAATATAACCATGTTGTGTATATAGCATATAGGGTCAGTGTATGCTATTGGTGATTTTTGAACAGTTAGAGGTTGTCGTAAGTATAAGGTGTTATGTTAGTTAGATGGTGACTTAATGTAACATTGTTACTGTTGCTTTTGGTCGCACGCTCTATTACCCGTATGAGGCAAGAGATTTGCTAATAAAGATTTTTATGTTATTGTCTCGGCTTAAGTGGCTGAGTGGGAGTATTGTTTGTAATTGATGTTACATACTTTCATGCATCAATTAATTGGTAACAACCACTTAAAGGATGTGGTGTTACAACTCCATCTCCATTAAGTATGGAGTTATGGAAGTGAGGCTTTGAAGTCTTCATTAAATAGTTGTATGAAGACAACTATAAATTGATGCTTTGTGCATCTTGAAAAAGGAACAATACGAGACAAAGAGACAAATTAGAAAAATATATAAATATCTTTATATAGTGCATATTCTCTTGTTGAGCCGAAACCATCAAGGCGGCTTGGGTTTTAGAGCGTGGAGGATACCGACGACTCTAGTAGCCGTCGGATAAAAGATACGGGCAAGTTTTCGCTTCCGCTACATAAGGTTAGTCCTATATATATTCATATATGTGTTATATAAAACCACTAACAGTTTCAAATCTGTATGGTTCACATGTAAGCCTGTACTGGAGCTGAATGCCTTTGTAATAAATGGAAATGTATTTTGATGAAATTGGAAATACTTTGAGTATGAAAATTTTCAAGTCTCTAGGGTTCACATGTAAGCCTCTTCTGGAGCTGAATGTCTTTGTCGTAAACTGAAATGTAGTGACATGAACTTGGAAACACTTTGAGTATGAAATTGAACCATAGAGACGAGGCGCTAGCCCGTTAAGATCTATTTCAGAGTCGTTCAGATCTATTCCTGCTCAAATTTTTTTAAGTGTATTTTGTAATCCTTTCTTTGTTGATGTTGGTTTTTGACATTCAATTGATTAACTTATTTGAATAAGGTGTGTTATCTAAAATGTAAAACTGTCTTAATTTTTGTTGACCAATTCTTCCTATATATTTTTATTATTGTATCCCTGAAACATGGCCAAGCTCCTGCTCGATCCCCAGTTCCTGGCCGTCTACCCCCACACACCTCTCTATTTGGTGTGTTTCTTTGTATTATATATTCTTTGTATTGTATAATTTGTTTAAATTGACCTTTTCATATTGTTCAGTACTTCAGTTTCAAGTCTCTTTAGTTCATCTGTAAACCTCTGCAATAGATTGGAGCTGAACACCTTGTGATGTGAATGAAAGTTTATTAGCATGTAATGAGACATAATTTGAGTAATTTGAGTATGAAATTGAATTTCCGGTTAGAGATTTAAAGGCTGTGGCGAGACAAGGGCTCTTGGTTACTCACTTTAGACCTTATCTATTTGTGTCTCTTTCCTTCTTTTTCATTTTGGTTACTTTTTTCGTATTCTCTTATCTGTTTTCTGTTTGAATATGGATCTTTTAATCACTGTTGTCATAACATAAGTTGTGCATTTTATTGTGTTTAGTTGGTTTTAGGTTTTTGTCCATTGCAAATGGAGCTGGAAGTGTTGGGCTCAGTTGCGCAAATGCGGAAGGTGTAAATTAAAACACCGGAGTAAAATGGTGAACAATAATCCCAATGCCAGCAACTCAAGAATGACAAAAGAAAATCTCTTGCAATAAAACAGGAATAATTCTTTTCTGATGTGGAAGATCAGATTAAACTGCGACCACAGAGCATACTAAGAATATCCCAAATAAATAAAATATGCAAGAAAATAAGAGAACAAGATTTTTACGTGGAAAAACCTCCAATGTAGAGGAAAAAATCACGGGACAACCTCCGAACAATTCCACTATATTTTCAAGATAATTACAATATCTTTTCACACTCCTCTACACTAGAAATGTAAAATATAGTGGCCCAGTGAGACCTCACTCCTATTCAAATATTACAAACAAGGAGTAATAGAGATGATACCCGACTCGGTGTATTTTTCCCACACTCAAGGATTTACTCAAACACTCTATTTTTCTCTCACTGAAAAATAACACTGTCACACAGAAACTGAATGTTGTTTATGTTCCTTATTTTCTTCTCGCTCTTGGTGTGTTATTTAAGAAGAATTCCTCCTCTATTTATAGAGGGAAAACTGAATGTGAACAAATGAACTAGTGGCTCCTTCTCGGCTCTTTCTTTCAACATTGGTGAGCTACTCCACCAAACCTTCCTTTTTATTTTTTTATCCATAGTGGTAGTTTAGCTACCAAAACATGTGGCTGGATCCCACAGGAAGAGTCATTGTTGACAATTCTCCTGGCATAGTGCTAATAATGGACTAGATCAAAATGACTCAATTAAATTCTAGTGCTTCTTCTATTAGTGAAGTTTCTAGAAAAAAATATATATATCAAACGGCGCAATGCATCTTGGGTCGCTACGGAAACAACCTCCTTGCATAATTACAAAGGTAAGGTCTGCGTACAACTGACCCCCCAGACCCCAACCTGTTGGGAATATACTGGGTATGTTGTTGTTGTAGTTGGTTTTAGGTTTCATTTTATAAATTATATGTGTTTTACTTTGTGTAGTGCGGGGGTATGCTGAGGGTGGTCCTGATGACAATCCATTCAAGTGCCTAGACTGTGGCTATTTCTGCAAATCTTCGGATACACTCTCCCGTCACTATAAGATGAAGCACCCTAGGATTTTCAAAGAGAACCATCATTGTCATATCTGTGGTGCATATTTCCTTACCGAATCAAGGAAACGACCATTAGCTGGTTTTTTGGTGCTTTAACATAGCTTACACATTACCTTACCAGACCTGTTAACCTCTAGTAGTAGTCAATGTATGGTGGATGGAAGTTGCTGTTTTCTGGTACCTGCTATGCTGTGCTTGTGTATATTACAACCAGCATCTTTCTGCTTCGTTACCACTTGCTTTGAATGCATGATTAAGTAATGTAGATATATACTGAATGTTCCATGAGTCATATTGTCAATGTATGGAAAATCATGGCATGTTTCTTGTGCTCCTGGTGCATGTGCAACCCACCGGTTCAAGTTAGTTTTAATTTTGTCCGTTATTTATTTGGTAGGATTACTATTATAGCGCAAATTTCTTTTACACTCCTATACATGTACTTTCTTTTACACAGTGTCCCATAAAAAAACATCATTTCACCTAATACTCACAAACTATATGCCATATAAAATCACATATCCAAATCTGACGCATAGTTAACAATTATAGAAAACTAATTCGTATATTTGTTTATTCCATATCCAAATCCACTGCATAATTTTACTTATACAAAGTTATTTCACATATATAAATATAGCATATCCAAATTAATAGCTGCATATTTTATGATTATGCGACAAGTTTTTGCATATTTTATGTCACGCATATCCAAATCGGATGCATAGTTAACAAGTATGCGAAACACTTACGCACATTAAGTAATCAGGAATCAAACTCAAACGTCGCATGTTTTATGTTATGCAAAGTATTTTCGCATAGTGTACAACTCGCATATCCAAATCCACCGCATAATTTACCATATGGGATAACTTGTCGCGTATTCTTTTATCGCATATCCAAATCGGATGCATAGTTACCAAGAATGCCTTTGTTATAAATGAAAATGTATTTTGATGAAATCGGAAATACTTTGAGTATGAAAAGTTTCAAGTCTCTAGGGTTCACATGTAAGCCTCTTCTGGAGCTGAATGTCTTTGTCGTAAACTGAAATGTATTGACATGAACTTGGAAACACTTTGAGTATGAAATTGAACCATAGAGACGAGACGCTAGCCCGTTAAGATCTATTTCAGAGCCGTTTTGATATATTCCTGCTCAAATTTTTTTAAGTGTATTTTGTAATCCTTTCTTTGTTGATGTTGGTTTTTGACATTCAATTGATTAACTTATTTGAATAAGGTGTGTTATCTAAAATGTAAAACTGTCTTAATTTTTGTTGACCAATTCTTCCTATATATTTTTGTTATTGTAGCCATGAAACATGGCCAAGCTGTTAGAGTAGAATGCCCGACGTTCCAATCTGATTGGATATATTTCTACTTATAAAGACAATTTATTGGAAATTATATTATTTTGAGGCATAACTTTATCTTATGTTTTTGCATTTATCCTATATTTGTACATATGATAAAGTCCTTAGATCATTATTAGTTATGAGATGGTTACGCATATGATGGCAATCATGGAACATGTCTTTAAAGCTGTGATATTAAATAAGTTCCAAGCCGATGAGTGTTTCGAGACAGGACATTGAATAACCCGGTTAGACTTGTGCATATGATGTATGCTCATCGGATGAGAATGTTGCATTCCATCAACATTAGCGTGTCGACGCAAATGCATATATGCAGGTGCTTGTTGGAGAACAAGTTCACTGAACATGGCCTGATGAAAATTCTTAACTGGAATTTTTTAACTGTCGAATAAGAATTTTCATGTTGCAATAGTACATGACTAATCCTATGACTTGAGGCAAGATAGTAATCTTGTGCATGTTGTGCTTACTTTGATTTATCCTTTGATTGCTGGGCAATCATAAAAGGGATATTTTGGGTAATGTATTAATATGTATGGAGGTTTATCTGTGGCTAACAAAGAATTCGAAACTTATGTGGATAAGTGAATTTCCTATGTTTTTCATAGTTTGTGATTCAAAGACCTTGGCCGAGGCAGGATGAATATGGATTCATAAAGGAATCGCTAAACTTGAAATGGAATCATTGTTATTAAATCAATTGGGTTTCGAATATAAATCCATGCCCAAGAGTTAATCGGGAAATTAGTTGTTGAAAGGATTTTACATGTAACGCCCCACTTTATTTTAAAGGATTTATCGAATTTATTTAATAAAAATCACAATAATTTTTTTGCAGACTTTAATTTAATTAAAAACTCAGTGGGCGCTACTCAAATTTACCAAAAGCCTTTAACCAAAAATGCAAACGTATCAAATAAAGACAACATGCACGAATAATAAATCATAAACCAAACTGGCATTCATTAAGTTCCAAATCATAAAGATAATTCACAATTCCAAGTTCAGAACGACACAGTCATAATATCTCAACATAAATGAGCGGAAGCAAATAAATAAGCGATAAATAAAAGCATGACCACCACCCGTCTTGTCTCGTCACCCGCCGACTGCTTAACCTGCATTAGTTACGAGCAGGTGGGAGTGAGTACAGTTACTATCGTACTCACACTATGAATATGAATAACATAATAATGGTATGGTCGCAGCATGAATATAAACAATAAAATCATGTCACATCTCTAGCCACATCAATGACTATAGTCTCATCAAAGACTTACTCATGTACATCTATGCTCATCAAAGCTAAGCCATGCCATATCAGTGAAACATGGGAGTGCGTGCCACATCAATGACACGGCCTTCTCATAGGTCTTAATGAGATTTACCTCACTGGGTAACCGTATCTTATCATACGGGGACAACCGTACCGATGGCCATCAAGCTCACATCGATAGGCTACATGTTCATTTTCATACATAGATCACACCAAACTTTCATCACAATTTAAAATCACACATATGCATAGATAATTTTAGAATAACCCACCTGGATTCCGGATCGATAATAACCCAAAGCAATGGGAGTAGGTCGAGGTTGGACTCCTCAATACATTGAGTCAAGATGCTACAATCAACATCTATCTTGACTTTAAACGGAAAACACAAAACAGACCTAGTCGAACTTGTTTCGACTAAGTAGTTCGTGAAGTTCTGTGGACGTTGGAACGCTAAGACTCGACACTAAACTCGACCAAACCACATATGGGAGATATAATAATTCTATCTAAGGATAGACCAAGACAAACTCACATCAAAACGAAAAGCAAGTCAATCACAGATTTAATTCAAAATCATAGTTTAAAAATTACTAGCTATTAATCACATGAAATTCATTGACCAGGCTGCCCTTCGACTTAGGCTCTGAAATTTTACACAAAATTACATCTTCCAGTAATAAGTAAAACCATGAATTTTCAGCTTCAAACTCGTTTTACATAATTTTATAAAATTCAAACAAGGTATCAACAAAACGAGAACATCAATTTATACTTGAACTAAATGAACGAATCAGGACTTGCAAATTTAACATAACAACATACAACCTGCTACAGTCCATGTATAAAAATCTCATCCCTTAACATTAACTGCTACTATTTTTAAAAATTCATACGAGATTTAGTAGTTTATCGAATTTAAATCAAAACCGAATCAAAATGGATTCCAAAAATTCCCATCTCTTAACAGCATGATTCTATACATAAAATAGGCATCCTAGTAAAATTTCATAAGTTTTCAATAAAGAACCGATTTTTAATAATTCATACAACTTTCAGCAGAAACAGAAAACAAATCATTAACCATATCAAATTCAGTCCAAAAATTCTGAAAACTTAACACAGCATATAAACACATCTGAGGCATAACATATTAAAATTTCAGCTCATTTGAATTACAAACCAATTTATTAAGTATTAAACAATATTCTGATCAGAATTTGCTTTAATTATTAAAAATAGCTACAGGCTTCTAAAAATTACGGAAGTTTTACACAATGCTGGAAATGAACAAATAACATATCCCTCAAAATTTCAAGTCATTCGAGCAGTGTGCGATTTTTAAAAATTCAAACACCAAATTAGCGACATATATGCTCGGCAACTTAGCAATTAATTCATAACATGAAATTTCTCGTCCGAGGCCTTCTTGTAAGACCAAGGACTCGACTTTGCTCCAATATCCACTAACTTACACGACTTTCGAGGTCTCGTTCGATTCCATATAATCGAAGAGATCCTCAAAACACGAAAAACACATCAAATCCAAATTTATTTTTTCTTTTTTTTTTCACACAACATCATAACAAGGCTCGACATAGTCAAACCATTTCAACAAGGCACTCGATTTAACATAATCAATCACGTTAAACACATAACAAATAAACACGTGAAAATCAACAATATATACGATCAACGAGACGGGGTTCGACTAGGTACCGTTCTCCGAAAAATACAAAACGATCGAAAGAGACGGTACTCGGGCTCGACGGCAGATGCTCGTGTCGTGCGAACAAAGCTTCGGTACGGTTGTCTGTGAGTCGTCGGTTGCCTGCCGCCGGACGACGGGGCTGCTGCTGCCCGAAAGAGAAGCCGACGGAGTGGTCGAAGAGGGCGGGACCCGCTGCTCGCGGCTAGGGTTGCTGGTCGTCGCGTCGGATGTCACTGCAGGTGGTGGTCGCTCGCCGGAGACGCTATTGTGCGACACAGAGGAGCAGCAGGGGGTCGTCTGCGCGTGGAAGAGATCGGCGGCAATCGGGAAGGCGGGGCCTGCTCGTAGCGATGGTGATGGAGACGGAACTGGTTCACGGCAAGGACGGGCTCACGGGAGGAAGGAAAACTCGCCGGAATTCGCAAACAGAGGTCGTCGGGAGAAGCTTCGCGGGGCTGCTGTGCGCGAGTGGTGAGAGGAGGGCTCGCCGGTGGTGACGGCAGCGTCGCTGCTATCGTCGCGGTGCGGCGGAATTACTGTTCGCGGCGCGGGAGGCGGCGGCGCTTGTGGTCGTCGCGGAGGAGCTGCGCGGAAATCGCCGGAGTTGCAGGCGGCGGTTGTTCACGGTGACTGGGGTGATGGCGAGAAGAGGGAGATGACAAGAGGGTGAGGGTGACGGGAAAATTTTTCAGAGAGGTGGAAGGGGAAAAGGA